TGTGTGTGTGTGTGTGTGTGTGTGTGTGTGAGAGAGAGAGAGAGAGAGAGACAGGGTCACATCACAGTGGAGTCAGCTGTCTTAACCGTGGCTTGTGTACTGCAAACGCATACCAGCTTCATCACTGTGTCTGTCACGTGACTCTGTTCCCCTGTCGGGCTGTCTTTACATTTATTTTGAAAGATGAAGCTCGCGATTATGGTAACCCTTTCCAGTAGTGACTGTATAATTGAGATCCATCCTTTCACAGTGAATGACTCCTACACAATCTTTGTGAAAACATTCATTGTAGAGCAAGAAGGCAAAATGATACATTGAACTTTTGTTTTCTGGGAAGCCTGCATTTTATGTAGCTTAAGAAGAACATAACTAATTAAACAAATGAGATTTAAAGGGATAGTTCACCTAAAATGAAAATTATCGCATGATTTACTTGCTCTTTAGCCATCCTCAATACTCCCACTATGAATGTGCTTCTGCTCGTGTAGTAGCCTACCGCTCATGCTTAAAGTCCGCTCAAATAACAAACCTCATAAAGCAAAGTCCGCTCAAGTTTGATTCTGTTGCATGGAAATGAATAAAAATATATTGCTATTTAATATTAAGGTAACACTTTACAATAAGGTTCCATTAGTTAATGTGTTAACGAACATGAACGAACAGTGAACAATACATTTATTACAGTATTTATTAATCTTCCTTAATGTTAGTTAATGAAAATAGCCTACAGTTGTTCACTGTTAGTTCATGTTGATTCAGAGTGCATTAACCGTTAACAAGCACAACTGTTGATTTTAATAATTAATTAGTAAATGTTGAAATTAACATTAACCAAGATTAATAAATGAATTAATAAACTATTGTTCATTCTTGGTTCATGTTAATTATAGTAGTTGATTAATGTTAACTAATGAACCCTATTGTAAAGTGTTGCCATTATTAATATACATTCTCTCCAGTATTGTTACTTTCAGTAAAAGTGTGGTTATTTTATTGGCTTGTTTTTTAAATTCAGTATCATAAAAATTTAGTTAAATATAAAAAGTCTTACAAAATTACTTTATTATTTAATAAAATAATAATAAATGATTACAAAGCATTTTCGGTTTCAAACACAGTCAGAGTTATATTAAAAAAATAATGTGTATAATGGTAGTGAATGGGGCGTTGGATTTTGAAGCCCATCCATCATAAAGGTACTCCACATGGCTCCAGGGGGGTTAATAAAGGCCTTCTGGAGTGAAGCTATGGGTTTTTATAAGAAAATATCCATATTTACTACTAATCACAGAACCGGCTTTACTGACGAGATACGCATGACAATCGCATGCGATTTATCGTGCAGCCCTAGACTAGCGTAAGCTCCGATTGGATTTGTCTAAAAAAAGAAA